AAATTCTGAACATTTTAAGCCGCGAAAACCGCCATTATATGCAAAATTCGAACTTTCTTAAATTTTGGCCCTAAAATAAATCGTTGGAACTTTAAACTATTTTTCCTTGAATAAGTTCAACCAAAGGTATGTTTTGGCGAAATAAAAGAAAAATCGATTTTTCGTGAGTGTCTTCCGATTCTCGACACACTCAGAAAATCACTCTTAAATGCATGGAAATCGGGAAAACTCTGTTGCCTTCATGAAAACTATTTTTCTACGCATCTTTTGCTTAGCTCCGAGGGGTTGAACCATCACTGTCGAATTCAACACTCTCGAGATCGTGTATGTGGTGATGAAGAAATGAGGTGAGGAAGAAATGTGCTCAGGAAACTCATGGCTACTGAAACTCCGAACAACATCGCAATTCTGTCTCAAAAGAGACAAGAACAAGTAAGTTTTTTTAACGTTTGTCTGCTCGGCGAACTGCACAAATTTCCTCGTGAAATCATGGTGAAATTGAAGCTTAAGTCTCAAATTAAGCTTAAGCTTAACTTACATTTGTTAAAAGGAAAGCATTTTTTTCCCTTTTGTGTCTGCGGTGATAGGTAAATCCCTTTGCACATCACATATATAGATGTAGATGTAGATAACAATTTTTCTGTGGTGAGAACCAAACGATGATTAAGCTTATCCTTTTGTTTACTTCGTTTTATCAACGGAATTCTAAATTCAACGATTGCAAATAATAGGTAAACAAGAAATACAACTGAGATATATAGATTGCAAAATTGTTATTGTTTTGTTTTGTTTAAATTCAGATTTACCATGAAGAGACAGCTCTTGAAGAGAACAGTCAAGCTGATCGAATCATCCGCCATATTATTGTTCTTCCAAGAAAAAGAGAACATGCAAGACCACTCCGAGTGTAATACAACATCTTAATTTCAAAACAAGATCACGATCGCATTAATTTTAGTGTGCCCAATATACTGTCCAACAGACCATGAATATGCGCATATTTTAAAACACGTCTGGCGAATGGATACAAACTATGGATGAAAAGAAGTATGCTGGATTTACCGGCTTCAAGATATCTCCTGTGCATGTAATTGCAGCCTCAAGAACACGTAAATGTTATTAAAATACCACGAAGCACCGAAAAGTGATTTTTGCAGTCATCGAGTATTAAATATTGAATAATGGTCTGAAAATTTGTTTACTAAGAAAGCTAACCGTGGCGACTGCTTACACATAAGCGGTGGGTGATTAATCTCCGTCAGGATCAAGCTCTGGGCGATCAAATCTGGAATTCAAAGTTTCCTTTCCTAATTT